CTATGAGGAAAAGGCTGTCGAATGTATCACATGAGTAGCTAATATTTCAGCTTCATTTATAGAGAAAATATCAGATTTATCATAGATTTATAAAAGTAAGCTCATGTTGAAAGTTTATAACTTCTTTCAACCATTTTTGTGTTCAAATTTGTTTATATACTTTGATTTTAGATTTAAGAAGTATTTAAGTTTCATAAATTTTACTTGGTCTTGTTGATTAAGAATTATGTAATTATCGTGTCAATTTATCACATGAAAAAGTAACTAACCAGGTAGATAACCAATTATCTTATTTTTCATCCATGCAAATGGGTGTTTGGTTGGTACAGATTGAAAATCAGTTACATTTTGGATCTCATGGTTTTCCTTGTGTATAAAGGCTTTCTTATGTGACACCGTAAGTTGGTCAAGGTGTTGTGGTATATGAATAGTGTGTGGAAAATCGAGGCAATGAAAATTTAAATAACCTCGATTAATTCTAGGATCTCATGCATATCATACTAACTACGGTAAAATAAAGTTGTGAGATTACCTTAATCTTTGATTTGATAATCCTTTTGTGCCGTCTTTGATTTTCATTCGATTTTTAAAGGTATTGCATTTCTGAAAGACGACCACCCTCTACAAGTATCCGCACGCGAACGAACGACAAATGGTTATAGAATGCTAGTTCTATTATGTTTTTCTCAAAAACTGTTTTTGTAGTTTTAGTTTTGGACGGTCGTGAAGAGTGATTAACCTTACCCTCGTGCATATAATATCTATATATATGACTTGATTAAGATTAGGCTACATCATCTGTTTTTAATTAATTAATTTAATTATTATTAATTTAAAACTCTTTTTAAATTAAATAACAATTTAAATCATATCCTTTACCTTATAAAAAAAATTTAATTTCAACCAAAACTTAATAAACATGTTATTTAATATTATTTTTGAATCAAATAAAGAAATAATAGTAAATAAAATATTTTGTCAAAAGAATATAAATTTAACTTCTTAAATTATTATTGAGAGTAATAAACACAATCATTCTTATACATTCTTAATGTGCAACCCTTATAGGTGCAATCAACATTGGCAGTAGATAAAATCACATTTGATTCTACAAGTCATAATGGCCTAGTAAGATATAATGACTAACCAAATTATATAAAAAGCTCATGATCCGAGACAACCTTAACACACCTCATGTCATAATCTTTTTATCTAACGATATCTTGATAGAATATGAGACATGAAAAATGTCAACCTTATATTACTCTGTCTTCAGTTTCTCGATACCCAATTGAACCGACTAAACAAACAAAATTGATATTTATTAACTCATTTGAGCATGACCATGCATTTCTCAGTCTGGGGCCTTTAGATATCTCTCTTATGATAGGAGGGATAAATTCCATCTTAATTTCACACCTCACTCCATGAATCATGTCATGTTTAAGCATGAGTCATGTCATGTTTAAGCATGATTCATGTCATGTTCAAGCATAACCTTTATAATTGTCCGATTAAAGACAACGTTTGATTATGTCAAAATATAATAATTATCATGTCGAGAACTGTAGTACTTTTAGGTCTAAGAATTTAATGACATGACTCTTTGAAATTAATATATAACTTTAATCTATGTATTAATCTCAAAACGAGTCGATCCGATATTTGTTCTCAAGAAATGCATATGAATTTGGTTTGAATCTCATTTACATATTCATCTCATGAATATCTATCAAATTTTATATCAATCTTATTTTATTATTGTTCCCACAATAATAACCGATTGGAAATATTTAGAATAATTAATAATATTATTTAAGGTTATTAATAATAAAATTGCACGCAAATTATAATAATAAAAACCAATAATTAAACTATCATTTCCGTACAATATGCCTAGGGCACAAATGCAAATATGGTGGATCGTTACTTGCTTAGCATTGATTAAGGTGACAGCACAAAACATGGATTGCACTTTTGTTTGGACTTTTAAGGTGTTGCACTAATAAAAATATGCATAGATGTATTTTTCCTATTAGGTTTTGGTGTTGCACTGAGGATAGTGTCTTGGTTTATATGATGCCGTGATATTCTCGTACCCAACACTTATTTCTCTCTGAAGGAAACTATGAGGCTCCGATCATATTGAAGAAGCCTATTTTGTACAGAAAAAATGAATGTAAAATTTCACGAGTGCTTACCCTATGGCATGTTTGTATGCTCATCTGTTTGATGATACGGTATGATGTCGGCATGGCTATTTAATTAGTAACCCGTAACTGTTAAATATGTTATCAACAGTGTCCATTTTGATTGGTTTTGCAGTAATTCCCTTGCTGGATTTCTTGTTTATTGTTATTTAACTGTTCAAATAGCATCCTTAGTCCCCCCCCCCCAATTTTTTGGGGGCTCAAACACATTAATTCATTCTTCATTCTTTTTTCTTTTTTGAAATTTCTTTGAATTATGCTGATGAAACTGTACCATTTTGTCTAATGTCAGTGAAACAAGTGGATCAGATGACGAATTTGATGACGGAAATGAAGGAACTTGTTCATGTACAATTATGTAGTTTGGGGTCATTTATTGAGTTAAAGGATGCATATCAGGTAAAAGAGCTTGATCTTGTTATGTTGGAAATGTTCAATTGATTTTGGGCAAAGAAGCAGCAAATATTGTTTTGTTTTTCTTGATTCTAATTGAAAACGGACTGCATCCAAGAGAGAGGAGCTTTCTTTCTGGGCCACCTACAAAAAGTAACCTAAATTTAAGGTAAAAAAAGGTAAGCTTTCTAAAATTTTATCAAATGATACATAAAATATCATCGAATTTGCATAAATTGTTACAACAATATAACATTTTGTGTACATAACCAAAATGTTGTCACTTTTTGTGCATATACATAAATTGTTACACAGTTTATAACATTTTAAGCATATACTCAAAATAATACCTAGTTTGGAACAATTTATGTATATACACAAAAATTGATCAACATTTTGGTTATGTAAACAAAATGTTATATTGTTGTAATAATTTATGTACCTTAGGTAACATTTTATGTATTTTTTTATAACATTTCAAGTAGTCTACAGTTTTTTTTTTACCTTAAGGTTTCTCACTCTAGAACTACCCCCTAGTGTATTGATATTTTTGTGTCAATATTCAAATATTTTATAATTTCAGGTTTTACTTTTATCACTGTTGCATGACTCTCTTCTGTTGTTTTGTCCTTTCTTTCGCTACGAACGCGGCATGTAGAATAAACACCAGAATTACTATAATGAGCACAGCACGACATGTTTAAACGCAAGGAAAAATAAGCGACAACTCAAAAACAATTTCTCAATTTTTGCTTGCTTTTGATTTTGATGGAATACAGAATACTCGGATGCTTTCTTCGTCTGAAAACATAACAATTATTGCTGCCTCAGACAAGCTTTGATGTCATTATATTTGATTAGTTGATTCCTTTGGCTGGCTGATTAATACATGTATTAATCGAAGAGGATCGATCTGTTTTTTTTTTAATTTAAAATTATTATCAGGCAGAGATGGAATCAAGATTAAGGGCTGTTTTTATTTTTATGTAATGGGAAGGTGTTTTTTGAAAAATACTTTTGAGTGTTTTTGAGAACTGTTTCTGATAAATATTTTTGGATTGTTAGTTTAAAATTCAAGTGGTGGTGATTGTGGTAATCTAAACACTTTTATTTATTCCGCATGCTTTTTACCTCAAAATTGATGTTAACTTCAAAATATTTCATGACTAAACTTAAAGGCATCAAATATTCTTTTTTATTGATCTCTATTAAATGTTACGATTTATTTGTTGACTCTAGACTTTAGCTATTTCTGGAGCTTAATGCAAATTACAAGTTAAAATGAGATGAAAATAGGGGGTGAGGCAGTTATTTCTTTTAAAATTTAAAAATTTTATATATTTTTTATTGATTTTTTTGTTCTTTTAAAACTATATAAGCTTGTCTTGCTTTACATTTTTATAAATTCACCCTCTAACATAAAATTAAATATTCGTCCATGATGTGTAGAAAAGATATACAAAGATTATAAAACTAGAAGATGGAATTTTTTGAAATTATTTCTAAATTTAAATATTATAGAATTATAACAATTATAACGTTGTGTTGTAAAATTGCATATGGAAGTTTGACGTGGAATGTTTAATCATAAAAAAATCATACATATCCAAGAGTTATAATTGAGTCACTCATTTTATCAATTGAAATGAATAAGTCATATGTAATATAAAACATTATCGCTTATATCATAAGATTTATCTCAATCTCTTTATTCGATTTGAGATTAGATTTCTATAATTCTTTCTCAAGAAAAGAAAAAAAATCATCCTAGAGTTCAAACTTCTTCTTCAAGCCTAATCTTCATTGTCTACCATTAGATGACCTTCGTTTCGAGATATGTTCTCCTTCTCACCAATGAAAAGTTCACCATTATTTGAATTGTCAAATAGAGCCTCTGATGTTTAAGAAATACACTCCAAATCACCCATTTATAATAAAATTAATTAAGCAACTCAATTAAACTTTCTAAAATATAATGAATCATTTGTAAACTCACTAATAAAAAATTAACTATGTGATTTATCCAACAAAAATAAAATAAAAATATCTTACAAGAACACCTTTTAACGTCGGTTTGAGATTTAACAATACAATAATATGATTGCTATAATCAAATAATTAATTAACTTGATTGCGTTTTTTAAAAGTATAGTGACCAATTTGTAAACTTAATAATAATAGGATACTTGTGGTGTAATTTACTCCTATATTCATTACCTATAGTTTTACCATTTTACCTTGTATCTCGTATTGTCGCGGCTTTATTTTGGTGTTGAAATCGACAGGTTTACGTTCAAACCCATCCGTGTGTTGAAACTTGGCGATGACTTAGCCACACACCCGACTTCTACTTTCCAACACAATCTTAACTCTTAAGCCTCCAAGAACATAAAATGTTCACAATAAAAAAAAAAAAAACAACAACCCAGAATTTGGATAAACAAAAGAAAAATAATACTACTATGTCTATGGCAACCTCGATCACATGTCTGAAAATCCCAAACCCTTGTTCCCCTCCATGTTCCTCATCACCTTCATCTTCAACCAGTTGCAGATTGTCTGCAACAACCAAACCTTATGGTGTGACGATAAGGAGCTCTCAAACCGACGGTCCTTTGAGAAGGCCCGTGGCACCTTCTCCACCACCTCCTTTGAAACCAGTCCCGCCGTCTTCTCCTTCTCCTCCGCCGCAATTGACTCCTCCTCCTCCTCCTTCGTCTACTCCTCCGCCTTCAGTGGCAGCTGTTGGGGACCAGAATGTGATCACTCTGGAGTTTCAGAGACAGAAGGCAAAGGAGCTGCAAGAATACTTTAAGAAGAAGAAGCTCGAGGAATCTAGTCAAGGGCCTTTCTTTGGGTTCCTTGGCAAGAATGAGATTGCTAATGGAAGGTAAATGGAATAATAAATATGCCCTTTATATATTTAGCCATGATTCTGGTTTGTCTTGATTGAGAATTGAGTGAACAATTTTTACATTGATGGATATGATATCTGCCATTTTGTGATATGGTGTGTATGCATATGAATAATTGAGTTCAAATCCTTATAAATCTGTTAATAATTTTACCAGAATAGCTTATGAGATATGAGCGCGTTGCTTGATTTTGAGAGAATATTTCATAGAATAGGAGTATCCATGCACTCCATGCCTGGAAAATCTTCATATCTAAATTTTGGGATTCACTCTATTAGTTTGTATGCACACTGTAATGGATTCGGACATTTCGATTCATCATATTTTTGTCCTAAAATCTATACCTATGGAATGTGCCATGCAATAAGCTTAATTTGTGCTACTCCTGCGAATTCATCAGATTCTGCCATGATTAACTGGGAAACTGTTATATCTTATCTTTTTAGCTTCCTGCACATTGATATTGTAACATGATGTTGATTGAAGATACACGCACACATTCTGTCTCTAAAACTTGAAGCCCCCATTATTTTCACATGGTTATGCCTTATTCTATTAGTTTCATATTGCATTTAACTTGTGAAATCCTTGTCCTGGCTACTTGTAATGACATACAAATGGTTGCTAGATGTAATTGATTTGAGGGTACTGGAGTTTGTAGATGGGCGATGTTTGGATTTGCTGTAGGGATGTTGACAGAGTATGCAACGGGCTCGGATTTCGTGGATCAAGTAAAGATCATGCTCTCCAATTTCGGGATAATAGATTTGGAATGACTCCTTTGATCTTATATTCTCTTGTATACCACAATGCTTCTTGTATTCATACGTTATGATTTCTGTAAGTTTGTCCAATGTTTTTGTTTGCAGCTCTCTGAGCAAGCTGTTTGCTATCGTTGTTACTTCATGAATCAATTATAATAACAAGCTGTATCTCAACAATCTGCCTGGCTTTATGGCTTTTTCTGCATATATCAAGTTCCAACAGTTCTTCCTCTCTTTACCAAGTTTTTATGAAGTAGTTGTTTATGAAAAACTGAGAAACTGTTTATGACATTTTCTATCTCAATGAGTGGGAAAGTATAAAAAGAAGAAGAAGAAGAAATAATGCTCACTCGCGGCCAAATTCAAGCAATTATGGCTATGGACGGCCATTTTGTCACATTTTTCTTCCATTTCTCTCTCTCTTCTGATCTTTAAACTTGTACCTCCTCAGTAAATGGTACCTCCGCTATTATTTCTTTTGTCTAAAGAAGATTTTGGATTTTCTTGAAATCTTTAGAGTTTTACATCCTTCGATCAGCTATAGATCTTTGATATATACGATCGTTGTCAATTTCATCATATAATATCTATTTACCACGTAAATATAAAAATAGACATTTTTATCTTTAAACAGACATTAACACTAAAGATTTGCATATAAATCATTACGTAAAACTAGAGAAACGACTCCTATTCTTCTGCTGACTCGAACTCCCTTCTTCCCTTATCGTTCGATTATTTATCATCATTTTCAGTCGTCTAAATTAGTATGAGCAGTTCTTCGTCTAAATTTTAAAAGCAAACACCATTACATCTCCGTAATCCCATTTATCCCAACAACAAAACTCTTCCAAGTATCCTCCTTTCGTTTCGTCGTTTTCTCTGTTACTCATTGTTAAACCATAAAGAAGCAACAGAAGCAAAAAAAAGAAGAGTTGTCAGTTGTCATAGTGATTGTCGGTTTGACTCGGTCCACTCGATTTATTGACTTTAAACCGACCGAAGTCAATTATTTTTAAGAGTCACTAATTTTTATTAAAAATAAAAAATATTCAGAATTACAATAATATTTACTGACCGTAAACTAAGATATTTTCTTATATATTACCATGTAAACTAGCCACCTAGATCACACAAGTACCCAAAAAAGAAAGGTTAAAAAACCTAACTAAAAAGCTCAAACAAAATAAAGATATGAACAAATTTAACTGTATCGGCAAACGAACCACAAAAGAAGATGAAGCTACGGAAAGATCATCGACAAATTGTAAATCAGAGTCGAGCGAAGTGAGAAAACTATCTACGAATGCAAAGCGCATATCTAAATTAATACGAGAGTTCAAAGTAGAAAAGATCAATACAATAACAAACAAATACATCCAACCCTGATAAAAAAAGAGAGAAAACAACGGCCATATAACCTAAAACTATCAAATACAGAGAAAAAACATGGTACAAACAACGAAATAAATGTTTGGCAAAGTCAAGTTTTTACCCCTTATAAAAGGAAAGTCTAAAATATGTATAAAACCAATTACATTAAGAGAAAATAACCTCGGTGACTGAAAATTCCTTATAATATACGATTTTGACCAACTTTTTTTCGATTTGCCAAAATGACCAACAAAATCGTAATGCGATCTCCATTATCACAAATCAGTTTCCAGATTCGCAACACGATTTTGACTATCGCATTGCGATTTTAGAAAATCGCAATGCGAATATGTAAATCGCAACGCGATTCTGACTATCGCAACACTGAATTTCAAATTCGCAACAGGTTTTAGTTTTGCAACACAAATGTTTTGGGTATATAACTACGCAGCAACAACAACTCATAACCCAAATCCCTAAATCGTAACTCATTTTATCTTCATCTATCACTCTCTCCGGCGACATCCGTTCCTATATCTAACGACATCCTTCCCCATCCGGCAACAGGTTTTAGTTTCACAGCTCGTTTGTTTAGTAAATTAATTTACACTAATGAAATCATCTAATGTTGATCATGTTTGGATAGATTTGTGTTTTGGAGGGTCATGGGAGAATGTTCATGGTGTTTTACAATATATGCCTTTACCCATGAATCTTCAACTAAAACTGTCATTAAAAAAGTTAACTTATGAAACTCTAATGTTACGTGTTGCAAATAAATTGAATTTAGAGCCCATAAGTGGATTTAGGCTATCTTATCAGAGAAAATGTAAATTTTATTTGTTAACCGACAATGAAGATGTTGGACGATTCATTGCTTACATTAGTGTTTTGCAAGATGATGTTACATTGTATGTTGTTGAACCTAGAAATAGTGAAGTTGGGTCAGTAGCGGATAGTAATCAACTAAGTTTTTCAACCCTAGTTTATGGTGCTCAAAATTTAATGGTTCCACCACAATTTCATCACCAAGCAAATTTTGTTTCACCACATTTCCAATATCAAACACAATCTCAAAACCCACAACCTTTCCCTAATCTAAATCCCAATCAACTTTCAGCACCAAATTTCAGTTTTCGTATTGACCAGTTAGACGATGATGAGCTAACAGAAAAAATTGTGAGTACTAGTCAGTATTCGAAATTTGATCTTGGTCAATACCCGGACTTTGATCTTGGTCAATACTCGGATTTTGATGATGTTTCAGAAGAAGAAACAGACCCTGCGTGTAATGATTTTGATATTGGTCAATACCCGGATTTTGATGATGAAATAGCCGTTGCCAAGGAAGATGTTGTTGATGATAATGAGGAGGAAGTTACGACTGTGAATGAACATGTTGAACATCCATTCTGTAATTCATATAACCCTGAAGAAGAAAAAGAAGAAGAAGAAATCCCCGAAGAAAAGTCCCCGAAGAAAATGCAACGGGAGTATAACTGGAATATGCCAGAATTACTTCAGATACCGGAAGAAGAGTTGGTAAAGATAACAGTTGATTGTTACATAAAAATTATTCGTATAAAGAAAGATGATTGTTTTGATACAAAGGAAGACTTGAAGATAGCTTTGTATACGAAATATGTGGAAGATGGCTATCAACTAAAAGTTAACAAATCAAGCAAAGATCGTTTCGAAACAAGGTGTATGATTGGCAAAAACTATACGTGGCGTATGATTGCAAAGAGGATAAAAGATTGCGAAATGTTTCAAGTTAGGACTTTTATTGATAAACACACATGTTCAAGAACCCAATTTTTTCCTCACCATAGACAGGCAAACAAAAAGGTGTTGGGTGGTTTTCTGGCTGAGTTAATGTTTTTGAATGACAGGGTATATCGGGGACATGAAATTATGACTGACATGAATACTCGGTTCAAGATTAGTATCTCATATTCTCAAGCTTGGAGAGCCAAATGTTATACCTTGGAATTGTTAAGGGGGTCACCAGAAGCATCGTTTGCCCAACTGCCGGCTTATTGTCACAATTTAAAGCTGAAAAATCCTGGGTCGGTAACTCATATCAAAATTGGTGTTGCGGTTAGTCAATCAATATAATTTTGTTGACTCATTTTTGTTAGCTTCATGCATTTCACATTTAAATGATTATATTTCTTGTGTATATTATTTTGTAGATTCGTTCGTTTATTACTTGCATGTTCCCAGTTATTATAGTCAACGGAGCACATTTGAAAGGTCGATACCTTGGAGTAAACTTATTAGTAGTAGTCATGGATGCTAACAATGGGATATTACAAATAGCTTACGGGGTTGGCAAATCTGAAACCTCTGATTCATGGACATGGTTTATGGGGCATCTTAGGGATTGCATAGGTCCTATTAGCAATCTGACAATCATATCCGATAGGGCAAACTCAATTGACAACGCTGTTAGAAGGTGTTTCCCAGATGCTTTTCATGGACTTTGTGGTGATCATTTGTATAGAAATCTAAAATCAAGGTCTGCTGGTATAAAAAATCACAAATGGACATACTGGAAGGCTGTAAAAGCTTATCGGGAAGTGGATTTTAATAAGCATATAAATTGTTTAAGACGTGTTTTGCCTCAGTGTGCTCAAACACTAGAAGATGTCAGGTTTGAAAGATGGTCAAGAGTACATCAACTTGGAGTAAGATATGGTTTCATGACGTCTAATAGTGCATAATCAATCAATGCTCTAATTCGTCATTCCTAGAAATTACCCATTACTATGTTAATGGAGTTTTTTCGAGCATCTATTCAATAGTGGTACTACAAGAAAAGAAACCATGCATGTATTATTTCTTTAAATTCGTAACTTATTATATATTTTACTAAGTATTATTTATTTAAATTTACAGGAACAATGGAACATCGTGTTACACCATGGACTGAAAAAAAGATAACGAAACGTGTTGTGAAGTCAACGTCATGGAGAGTTGAACCATGTTCAAACACTTTGTTTGAAGTACTGGATAATAACTTAAATGGGCTTGTCGATCTAAATGCAAAGACGTGTAGTTGTATGAAATGGCAAACATCTGGTTATCCTTGTGGCCATGTTATAAAAGTTGCTCTTCATCTAAACCAAGATGATTCAAGCGCATACGCTATTGATTACTACACTACAGAAGTATATCGACAGACTTATGCCGAGATTATTTACCTTTTCCACATCCTTCTGAGTGGGACATACCAGATAACTTACAAACAGTTTTGCCACCAGCCATGGACAGAAGGCTACCTGGCCGACCAAAAAGTCACGATCGTATACCGTCTAAGGCTGAAGAGAATAAGAGATCGACATGTAGTCGGTGCAAGGAAAGTGGTCATACAAGGTTGACATGTGGATCACCAGCGCCATCACAATCATCTTTTCCTCTACTAAAATATGAATCATCATCAAAATCCAAAGCTCATATGGTGTCAAGCAAAAGGCAATCAAAATCGCAATCAAAATCAAAATCTCAATCACAACCGGCTTCACCTTTTGGGACTATTAACTTAGGTGATTTTTAAATGCAAACGTTGTATTATGTGTGTAAACTTTTAACATTTTCAGTTAGGCATGTATTAGTAACTTGAGTTTGAACATTGCTATGATTTGTTCAGTTATTATCACTTGTTACACATTCATTTGAATATCGCAACGCGAATTTGACTATTATGTG